GTTTGGCGGCCGCCAAAGCCGCGCTCCGGCCGGGGAGAGTCCCGTGCCTCTGCGGAGGGAGCCTCTCCGCAAAAATGCATCTGGAGCGGATCGCCGCCAGCGGGAATATTCTCCGGCTTTCTACTTCTCTCGAGATTTTCCCACCACCACTCTGCAGGAGACCCCCACTCTCGCCCGAGTGTCTTTCGATTGCTTTGTGCATTCCGGTGCATTCCGTTCTGTGGCTAAAAAACCGGGCTCAGGCACTAACCTTCCACCACCCCTCCCCCAGCATTCTCTGCCCCTTTTAAAAATCCTGTTGCAAGATGCGCTTCATGCACGTACATGGGCTTCCCGCGGAAAAACACGCACTAACATCATTCCTGAAATAAGCTTCTCTCGGACTTTCCCAGCCACCCTGGCCGGAGCGCGACAGAAAACACTCTCCCAGACTCTGGTGTGAATTGGGGAGGGGGGATATATACTCCCAGAGAGCAGCCCTCAGCCCCTGCGCACTCCTTCTGCGGGCAGGACCCCCCCCAACGAGAGCATCTTGGGGGAGCCTCGCCTGATGAACGCCATCAGCTACACCCCCCAACAAACCAACAAACAAGCTAAACAACCCGAAAGAGGGACTCCGCTCGCAGAGCCCACCCGTGCAAACACCAGAGCAGGACTTCCCGGGAAGGAGGGGATGAGAAACGGAACGGGAATGTTTATTTTCCCCTGTTGTTATTGTTGAACGCATGAATGAATGAATGAATGAATGGAACAGAAGGTGCTCGGAGGCATATAGGAAGCCTCTGGCCGCTTATATTAACTTCCTATTATACCCTAAAAATAGAACCCCGTTTCCTGTTGTTCGTCAGCCCCTTCTAACTGTTGTGTCTGTTGTGTGACATCTTTCGACTCACAAATGTGACTTTAAACCACGCACACACGCTTTGGTCTTTTGAAAGTACTACCCGCAAACATCATTAAAGCGACGCGGTTTAAGGTGACACGGAGGACCGGTAGCACGAAGTCACCCAGTCCTGGGGCACAGGGAGCGCGGAGCGCGGTGCCACGCTCTCCGCCCCTCACC